GAAGAAACCTCCGGCAGAACCAGGCTCAGGGAGGGGCGGCCATCTGCTGCGACTGTTGCTTTCTGTGTCTCCCTCTGTGTGACTGTCTTATATAGTAATGTGAGTTATTGTGCTTTGCTTTCCTTGTGTTCCGTGTTTTCCTCTTCCCTTCATGTATTTCTTCATGTGCTCTCCCCATGCTCTCTCTCCCCTCCTGTCTCCCCTCCTGTCTGTGTCTCTGTGTTCTTCCTGTGTTACGTTTAAGGTCCACATCTTGGGTTAGTATTTTCAGCTCCGCGCCCTCCCTGTCTTGTTATGCATAATTGTCCTCAGCTGTGCTCTCCGTGTGTTCCCACCTCACTCATTACCTTCTGTGTATTTATGTCGGAATCTCCCTCTGTTCCATGTCGCGTCGTCCTTTAAGCTGTGTGTTCCCTTGTGTGCCTCTCTGTAAAGTTTAGCTTATATTTTCCCAGTTTAGTTTTGTATTATTATTTGTGTCCCACCACGCCAGCAATAAAGCTGTGATTTTGTGTTCACCCCTCGTGTCTGAGAGCCTGCATTTTGGGTCCAACTCCTGCCTGCCACACAGCAATTCTTGACACATACAGAATCTGTAAGCATGGGACAACATTTTTGGTCCTGGAAGCTTGAAGCTGACTGGTTGTATCTAGTCAGACTTTGGTTGCATGCAGGTCCATGCATAGAGCCACTGTGATGGTAACAGAATGGTTCTTACATAATGCATTTCTACAACAGTTCACACCAGCACTTGTTTCTGCTTTCTATGTAACATTCATACTCCAATGGAAGCACCAGTGAGCAACTTCAGTATCTTGCTCAATGATACTTTGACATGCAGACTGGAGCAACCACCAGTCTGGTGGTTGCTCCAGTCGATGACCTGCTCTGCCTCCTTATCTGCAGCCACCACAACAAACGTTTTTGCTCTACCTGAGATCAGCAGGATAACACAGTCGGAAGGTCCCATGTGATCTCCTAATTTAACGCTGTGACATAAAGATTAAAGGAGATGCTGATCTGCTGGGAAGGCAGCTGTGCTCACCACTATACCACCATTCCAGATGTCAAGGATTGGTTTTGGACTTTGGAGTTTGCATATCCTCCCTGTGCCTGCAAGTTTAAAAATACCAGTCCATTTCCATTTATCTTTCCAACTCAGCAGGACATATTCTATGTTCAATAATTCCATTAAAAAGGCAAGAACAGCATATGGACAGTCAAGAGGTGTTAGAATTAGAAGATGTGAGGCCTTTTAGATACCAGTCAGCTACAGCTACCTGTGTTAGTCGCAGCTGGAGTTTTTATGTATTCTAGTCTGGTTAAGTCTCATTCTTTTACCTTGGTAATCCCTCAGAAAAAACACTTCAAGGGGCCATTATTTTTATAGCGTGTAAACCTAGAATAATAAAATCAGTAATAACTGTTTTTTTGTTTGTTTGCCCACATGTACATTCAGACATGAATGAGCACAGCTCCAGGAGTCACAGCATCTTCCTCATCAACATCAAGCAGGAAAACAGTAAG